ACGATATAAGATAAACACAAAAGTAAATGCGCCAATGACAAACTCAAACACAAGCAAATAATCACGGAGTTCAGACCTTCCGTCCTGCGTCTCTACTCCCTACTTCCGGGGAGAAATCCACTATCACACCGGGTTTTTGACGTTCACCCGAAAACGTTTACACCTCACACTCGATTTTCTAGCTCACCGAAAACTTTGCAATCAACACTCTTATAATCCTACTCTATACCCTCTAAGTGCTGGTCTCTAGCTCGTGTCTCCCTTAAGTGCTCGAATTTACAACATCTTCTTAGGTTTTACTACCGACACCACTCCTCTTGGGATAACCCCATTTCTCACTACACACTTATCTTGGTGTACAAATGTATTACAAAGTGTATTCTCACAATGAAAGCTCTATACAATAATTTGTTCTCTAATATGGATGAGAACACAATAAAAACTCACTCTCAATGTCACAAACCCACAACCCTAAATTATATTATATATGAAATACTATAAGCTCAATAGGGTGTGTGTGAACAAATAGAAAATCAAATATAAACTCAATGTAAACACTAGCTTAATGAAGATGACAAACAACAAATAATTAATGCAAAACTAGTATTGAGTTTAGAAATTCTTCTCTAAAAAACAAGATGGAGAGATGGAGATTGAAGCTCAAACAATGAAGATTATCTCCTCCACTTGTGAAAACTTCTTCACAAACCAAACAAACACTAAAACAAACTAAAACAAATCTTAAACTATTGTAAACTTGTTTTTAAACACTTCTTGGTTGGTAATAGAGCTGGGTATAAGGGGGTATATATAGAAGACCTCAAAACACAACAAAAACCCAACAAAAAGATAAAAAAACCAGAAAAACAAGGAGTATGGAAATATAGTCGTTATGGTGTTATAAGTCGACTTGTACCTTTTTATAAGTCGACTTATAAATAGCCGTTATAGTCAAAAAATCAACATATAAGTCGATTTGGAAGAAAACATAAGTCGACTTACTATAAGTCGACTTGACAAGTTGTATAAGTCAACTTGGCAGAGAAAAATCGCACATTCCAGAGCAGTTCATAAGTCGACTTATCCAACCTGATAAGTTGACTTATGAACATGCACAAAGACTATGTATGTCCAAAAATTGACTTTTAAACATTGATAAAAATATCAAATAAATTCTAAAAAAATATAAAATTTTAGGAAATATTTATAAACATGATAATAAACATGTTACAAGAAGAATTTTTGGATTTGCACTTCCTAATTGTAAAATATTATTATTTTGCAAAAATGTCTAAAAACATGAAAACTAAACATACATGTTTTTGACATATTGATTTAAACAAACTTCTGAAACTTTATAAAATGATTTTATAGACTTAATAAAATATGTAAACAGTGATTGTTAAGTCCATAAACAAGAATACATTATTTTCTCAAAAATGTATATATTATACAAAGCACATTTGTTTTTCCAAAAGAAATAGAATTAAAACATGTGAAAGTGTACATGAATATAATTATTGTTTCATATCTATAAAGCTAAAACAAAACAAAATAATAAATATGAAATATGTAATTTCATATAAACATGAAAACCAAAAACTAAAATGTGTATATATAAGTGTTAGTCTCTAGCCCGTGTCTCCCTTAAGTACTCGGATTTAGAACCTCTCCCTAGGCTTTACTACCGATGCCACTCCTTTTGGGATGACCCCGTCTCTCACCACACACTCCTCTCAGTATACAAATGTATTATAAAGTGTATTCTCATAATGAAAGCTCTATACAATAATTTGTTTTTTAATATGGATGAGAACACAATAAAAGCTTACATTCAATGTCACAAACCCACAACCCCAAATTATACTATGTATGAAATACTATAAGCTCAATAGGATGTGTGTGAACAAAGAGAAAATCAAATATAAACTCAATGTAAACACTAGCTTAATGAAGATGACAAACAACAAATAATTAATACAAAGCTAGTATTGAGTTAAAAAATCCTTCTCTGAAAAGCAAGATGGAGAGATGGAGATTGAAACTCAAATAATGAAGATGATCTCCTCCACTTGTGAAAACTTCTTCACAAACCAAACAAACACTAAAACAAACTATAACAAATCTTAAACTCTTGTAAACTTGTTTTTAAACACTTCTTGGTTGGTAATAGAGCTGGGTATAAGGGGGTATATATAGGAGACCCCAAAACACAACAAAAACCCTACAAAAAGATAAAAAACCCGAAAAACAAGGAGTCTGAAAATATAACTGTTATGGTGTTATAAGTCGACTTATGCCTTTTTATAAGTCGACTTATAACTAGTCGTTATAGTCAAACAATTAGCATATAAGTCGACTTGGAAGAAAGCATAAGTCAACTTGCTATAAGTCGACTTGACATGTTGTATAAGTCAACTTGGCAGAGAAAAATCGCACATTCTAGAGCAGCTCATAAGTCGACTTATCCAACCTGATAAGTCGACTTATGAACATGCACATAGACTGTGCATATCAAAAAATTAATTTTTAAACCTTGATAAAAAGGGCTAAATACCCATATTGGTATTTTAATTCAACCCCATTTGCCAAGAAGGTATTTTAAATAAAAAAAATTGGCGTTAAGGCATTTAATTGATTAAAATTACCAATTAGGTCCTTTTTTCTCGTCGGCGATCACTTTTCCGGCGAGAACTCGTCACGTGCGTGGCACGTGATGACTTAATCTGTATAAATACCCATATTGGTATTTTAATTCAACCCCATTTGCCAAGAAGGTATTTTAAATAAAAAATCGGCATTAAAGCATTTTAATTGATTAAAATTACCAATTAGCTCTTTTTTCTCGTCGGCGACCACTTTTCCGGTGAGAACTCGTCACGTGTGTGGCATGTGATGACTTAATCTGTGTTTTAGCTGATGATGTGGCTCGGTTTGCTGATGTGGCTCGGTTTTAGCTGCTGATGTGGCTTAATCACAATTTAAGTCCAAAACGAACCAACCTGAACCCTAAAAATTTCAAAACAAAGATCAAACTTCCACGCATTCACTCCAGATCTCAGATCCAACTCAATTATCTTACCTTTACCGCTAACAGAAGCAGCAAAAACCCCCGATTCCAGGAACTTCTAGAAGAAAACGCCATGGGAATTCGGAGAGAAGAAAGTGAGAAGACGAAGATCACTGCAGACTAGATTGCCGCCGGCGCGGCCATGGATCGATGCAAGAGAAAGAGGTTCTATTTATACGGTAGTTTCTCCACAAATTTTTCGCTAATTTTTTTACCAATTTTAGAAATGGGGGATTTTAAAATGCATCGACTCTTATTCTTCCTGCCACTGCCACGTCAGAAAACCGGTTGAATTAAAATGCACGTGATCAGTTCTCGCCGGAAAAGTGGTCGCCGACAAGCAAAAAGACCTAATTGGTAATTTTAATCAATTAAAATGTCTTAACGCCGATTTTTTATTTAAAATACCTTCTTGGCAAATTGAATTGAATTAAAATACCAATATGGGTATTTATACAGATTAAGGTTTTAAAAAATATAAAACCTTGGGAAATATTTATAAACATGATAATAAACATGTTACAAGAAAAACTTTTAGATTTGCACTTTCCAATTGTAAAATATCATTATTTTGTAAAAATGTCCAAAAACATGAAAACTAAACATACATGTTTTTGACATATTGATTTAAACAAACTTTTATAGACTTACATGTTTTTGTAAAAATAATTTTATAGACTTAATAAAATATGTAAATAGTGATTGTTAAGTCCATAAACAAGAATACATTATTTTCTCAAAAATGTATATATTATACAAAACACATTTATTTTTCCAAAAGCAATAGAATATGAAACATGTGAAAGTGTATATGAATATAATTAATTTTTCATATCTATAAAGCTAAACCAAAACAAAATAATAAATATAAAATATGCAATTTCACATAAACATGAAAACCAAAAACTAAAATGTGTGTGTGTGTGTGTGTGTGTGTGTGTGTATATATATATATATATATATATATATATATATATATATATATATATATATATATAGAGAGAGAGAGAGAGAGAGAGAGAGATGAGAGAGAGAGAGAGAGAAATGGTATGTTTGGTACCAAGCACAAAAAGTTATGCTTGGTAGTGAGGTGACATACTCTTTCTCCACTCATTCAAATGGTTGCATATCCCCATGCACTCCTCAACCCATGTGAATTGGTCCCCATCTGAATGAGTGAAGGAGATTGTTGCCACCTCACTACCAAGCACAAAATTTGTGCTTGGTACAAGCATACCCATATTCTTATATATATATATATATATATATATATATATATATATATATATATATATATATATACATAGAAACCAATAAAATTTAAATGTGTGTATATGAAATTAAGCTTAGAGTATTAAACACACATAATATAAAACCTAAACTAAAATAACCCAAGCTTCATTGATCTTCATATATGCTTGTATTGGATCGGATGAAGCTTGATCTTGAATATGGCTTGATGTGCAATGGCTTCATACCGATATTCCGTCAACATTCATTTGATATGATCGTTATGACACAATTTCATCCAACCCCCAACTCATTGTTTGTCTAGAATAAATAAGAAAACACAAACACTAGGCAAACAATATTAGTCGTAAATTGTTTGTTAAAACATCATCAAAACAAAAGGGCCAACAATCTGACCAATTGATGAAATTTAGGAATTGCATATCAGCTAATATAGATCGGTTGGAAGTTGCAATGTGCTAAAGTTTTACTGGCCTCTAGAAATAAATTGTTTCTTCATGATGTGGTGTGCTATAGTACTTAATTTGCATTTTTACATTATCCAAATTGAATTATTGCAATGTGTGTTTGTTGAAGTATTCTTCTGCAATACCCCTTTATTACAACTTTAGATGCATCTATTATCTTATTGGAGTATCTCTAATAAAGCTCATACTGGTGCCATCCTTTTGCATTGCAGCTCTTGATCTGCTACAAAATGTTCAAGTGCAAGCAATCATCGGACCACAAACATCCACAGAGGCTAAATTTGTCATTGAACTTGGAGACAAAGCTCATGTCCCCATCATTTCTTTCTCAGCCAAAAGCCCTTCTCTTTCACACCAGAAAAATCCCTATTTCATCCGCACGGGACTTAGTGACTACATTCAATCAAAAGTTATTGCATCCATTGTCCAATTCTTCAAATGGAAGGAAGTTGTTCCTTTATTTGAAGACACAGAGTATGGTAACGGAATTATACCTTATCTTATTGATGCCTTACAAGAGGTTGAAGCTCATGTCACATATAGGAGTTCACTACCTCTTTCAGCTACCAAGGTTCAAATCATGGAAGAACTAGATAAGTTGAAAAGCATGAGGACAAGGGTCTTTGTGGTGCACATGACATATTCTTTAGGCTTGCAGCTTTTTAAACATGCAAAAGAGGCCGGTATGATGGGCGAAGGTTACGTATGGATTGCAACATATGGCTTGACTGACATCGTGGATTTGATGGGTTCATCAGTGTCTCATGAGATGCAAGGTGTTTTGGGTGTAAAGCCCTACGTTAGAGAAAGCAATAAGCTTAGTGAATTCAAATTGAGATGGAAAAAGAAATTCAAGCAGGTAAATTTCGGTGCGAAAATATCTGAACCCACTGTTTTTGGGTTATGGGCATATGATACAGTTTGGTCGCTTGCACTCTCTGCACAGAATGTTTATGTGACAAATTCCACATTTCAAGGGCTAAATACCACCGATAATGCAACTGATTTTGCAAGACTTGGATTATCGTCATCTGGCCCTCTCATTCTGAATCAAATGTTAGGCACCAAATTTGATGGCATAAGTGGAGAGTTTGAATTAATTAATGGGCAGCTGGAGTCGAAAAGATTTGAAATAATTAATGTAGTAGATAACGGAAAGAAAACTATTGGATTCTGCACTCTAGAAAATAACACCTCTTGGATCGTTCATTTCAAGGATGATCCAGTGGACATCATGTGGCCTGGTGGGAAAAAGGTTGTACCAAAAGGATGGGAGTGGCCTACAATGGGGAGGGAGCTTCGAATTGGGATTCCAGTTAAACCAGGCTTTGGTGGGTTTGTACGAATCGAAGATGGGTCTGCTAAAGGGTATTGCATTGAAGTATTTAATGCTGTTATGACTCAAATGCCTTATAAGGTATCTTACAAGTATATCCCGTATGAAGATGCACATGGAAACATGAATGGGACATACGATGATCTTGTCTACGAGGTTTTTCGTCAGGTTAGTTAAATTTGCTTGCTTTTTGATGTAATTTCTTTGAAGCAGAAAACATTATGTGTTTAATGTTTCTAAAAGTTTTTGCAGCTTATAGAACTTTCAGGAATTCACCCTTGTCTACTAACCCCACTTCCCTTTCTTCTTTTCTTTTTCTCATTTGTCCACAAGTGAATGATAACTTCACATGTGGTGTTGTGATTCAATTTTCCATAAAAATTTCAAACCAAACTAAAGAATAGGAAATCACCCTTTTCTATTAAGTTAGATTCCCTATTTTCATATGTTGAACCAAACTAAGAGTTAAAAGCAAGAAAAAACCACTTGAGATTAGCATAAACATTTCCATAAAAATTTATAGAAACACATGGAAATTAATTTTTACCCCCTTTTTCTTTTCCTTAAATTTATGGAAAACAAACCAAATAGCCCCTTAAAGTAGACATAAAGTATGTGGGTGGGGCCCAAGGCCAAATAGGTAAAAGTTTGTGAGCAAAATTGCCCTAGCTTACCGTCAACATCTCATTGGTCAGCTTAATTTGTCGCCGCTATAACATAAACAAAATTGCTAAAAAAAGCTTTTAAGTCTTTCCCAAATTGGTTAAGAAAAGAGCAATGTCATTATGAGATGATGTCAAGACCTCAGTTACGTGCAAGAAGTAAGTAGTTCAGTCTTAATTTATTTGTTCACTGTTGTGGTGGAGATCGGAGGCTGTCCTCTCTTTGTCACCCCAAAGAAAGAAAAAGACGAAAAGAAAAAAAAAAGAAAAGAAAAGAAAAAGGGAAAAGAAAAGAAAAGGAAAAGCAAAGCTTCTCGTGGAAGGGTATACAGATAAATTGTATTTTTTATTAAGCTTAATTATATAGAAAGGACCAACGTGACCCTTTCGTATGTCAGTAATCTTTTTTGTTTAGCAGCTGAATCTTTGAATGATAATAGTTGTAGTTAGCAAAGATCCTATGTTATTTTTTCATTATCAATAAATTAACTAAATCTATGTTGCACGGATATAGGTGCAGGTGCGGCATGGCTAGGACACGGGTGTGGACATTGCCCACAACCAAATTGTAAAAGTTAGGATATGAGGACACGATTTTATACATATATATCAAAATTAATAATCTATATGAGATCGATATTGTTTTTCATCCACATATTGTGAGATCTAAAATCCTTAATACCACTTTTATGTTTCTTTATTGAGTAGATTATAAATTGAAAACTACTCATTTTAAGTGGGTATCGAAAAGACCCTTTAAAACCATACTTATGAACTATGTATGTGCTAAAAGCCTAAAACAAACCTTTTGCAAGCCCAACAAGTTGCATAAATTTAAGGTGGAAGTGTATGATATATGTTCAATAAGTGTTTTTGTATCATGAGTTTTTAAACTAAAACCTGTGTTATATAATTGAGTACACGTTTGAGTTAATGTATGTTGATGTTCAAGAAGTGTCCAAGGAGTGTCTGACATAGACACGGGTGCAGGAAGTGTCGAACGTAGAAACGGGCGCCTAGATGAAGTGTCCGGGTAACCTAGACCAAAATGGAAGGTTGGTCCGGAGATCGGATGATTCTTTTGTGTCTTATACCTTGACAATTGACAAATTCTATTTAATTCTTTAGACAATAATCTGAATATTATATATCTCTTGTATTCTTTCAAGTAAAATAAAATCCCTTTCTATTGGAAAATGTTTTAACATTTGCATACTGAAGAAGCTGAGCCTCCCACAAACAAACTCTGGGATTACAGATTTATTGACACGATATTGGTGGCGTCCAGTTGTACTATGCCGCTTAAGTCAATCTGTATGTCTAGAGGTTAGCATTAAAGCTGCGTATTTTCTCAAGGGCTCCTTTAACATTTCAAAACTACCTATTCAATTTTTTTCTTCAGAATAGTACTTTGTGAGAAGTCCTGCAAAACTTTAAGTGATAATTTTGCAAACTCATTGCCGAGCAGTTTTTCTTCGGGCAATTTTTAGAAACCAAGTGGATTTTTTTTATATGGAAAATGCTTGGAGTTTATGCTATATATTCTCTTCAAATTGAAGATAGATGACTATTTTAAACATTCTATTTGCTGTCTTGGTACATAATCCGACTGTTGACTATAGAGCACATGAACTGACACCTTTTCCACGCCCTCCATAAAAAGAGATAACTAACTACATCCCTGCTGTTGAACAAAAGCAGATGAAGATGAAATGCCTATTCATCCATGAAAAATTCTTTAAGGACCCAAAATATGGGACCAATAAAGGGGACAAGTGAGGTGTTCCCCTCCTATTGGATAATGAGTTGATCATCATTAATGATGGCCAACTCATTATCCAATAGGAGGGGGACACCTCACTTGTCCCTTTTATTGGTCCCATATTTTGGGTCCCTGTAGCAAAGCTCTTCATCCATATGTACTGATAGTGCTACCTGTGATTTTCGATTCTCTAACTTCTTCTTGTATGGTTGAATTTATTGCATATATTATATGTTGTTACTTTGGAGAATTTCATTTTATTTGATTTTCTTTTTGCAGAAATATGATGCCGTGGTTGGCGACATAACAATTATAGCCAATCGTTCTCTATATGTGGATTTTACCTTGCCGTATACAGAGTCTGGGGTATCCATGCTGGTCCCAATCAAAGACAAGCGCCACAAGGGTGCATGGACCTTCTTGGAGCCATTATCCACTGATCTTTGGTTGGCAAGTGCAGCCTTCTTTATCTTCACAGGGTTCGTGGTGTGGTTTCTTGAACATCGTATCAATGAGGAATTCAGAGGCACAATCTCTAATCAACTCGGCACAATCTTCTACTTCGCTTTCTCTACTCTTGTCTTTGCTCATAGGGAGAAGGTATTGGGAAACCTGGCTAGGATTGTGGTGATAATATGGGTGTTCGTCGTGCTTGTGTTGCAGTCTAGCTACACTGCTAGCTTAACCTCAAAGCTTACTGTGGAACAACTTCAGCCAACTGTCGCCGACATAAATGAGCTTTTAAAAAATGGGGACTCTGTTGGCTACCTGGATGATTCTTTCATGCCCGGCCTCTTGAAGCAGTTAAATTTCCATGAGTCTAAGATTATACCCTACAAATCACCTGAGGATTATAATGAGGCCATGTCGAATGGAACAGTTGCGGCTATTTTTGATGAAATACCTTATCTCAGAGTGTTCCTCTCTAAGTATTGTGGCAAGTATACCATGACTGGCCCTACGTACAAGACTGATGGATTTGGCTTTGTAAGTCCTCTCCTGATTCTTTTGTGCATATATATAATCTAACATGTGTACGTTAACAAGTTTTTTACATATAAGGATCAAGCAGTTTTTCGTGGTGGATGTTAAAATGTGTGAATAATTATAGTAGTTTGGGTTGGGTGTTGGATTTTGGGAAGAAAACTGATTATTGCTTGTGTAAATGTTTGAAACAGTTCAGGAAAACTCTAAAATCATTACATTTGAAATGCTGGTTAAAGCTGAATTGATTATGTCTATGTTATGTTTTGGCCTGTGGCACTTCATGTACGTCCATCTTTTTTCTGGAAATACATCGAATAAGGTTTCAAGGCTTTCTTCAAAATAGTCAAGTTGGATTTATTTTTGGCTCAATTCTATAGGACTGAGCTTGTTTTTCTTGGTTAGAAATCCTTGGAATTGCTATTCTAACTGTGTTTAGATATCTAGGTACAATTTCCCCAAAGAAACTTGGATTTTTTTAGTCGAACTTGTGAGTTTAACCTTATGTGAGTAATTAGAAGAGATAGAGTGAAAAGGGAAGGGGGTGGGGGGGGGGGGGGGGCTAAGATGTTGGCGCTGCTTAGGCTTTCCTTTTCAAATCACTATATCTAGTGTTAAATCTTTTTTTTGTTGTTGTTGTTTTCATTTAAAGCGCATAAGCCCAGTTCATTTGGCTTCAAGAAGCTTTAGACATTCTTCTAACATCGCCCTCTCTTTCCCCAGGCTTTCCCCAAAGGTTCACCCTTGGTTCCCGATATTTCAAGGGCGGTCCTAAAAGTAATGGAAGGAGAAATCATGACTAAATTCGAGAAAGAACCCTACGTTGATGGAAACTGCTCTGACCAAGAAGACAGCACAACAACTTCAAACAGCCTGAGGTTCAGTAGTTTCTGGGGCTTATTCCTCATTACTGGAATTGCTTCTCTCTCTGCACTTATTCTGTACTTAGCCTTTTTTCTCTACGAGAACAAAGACTTGTTAACTGAGAGCTCTGTACGCAGAAAGATCACATCATTGGCGAAAGTCTATGATCAAAGGGATCCTTCGAGTGTGAGAAAGAAGGATGAAGCTGTGGACAGGCCTGCTTCAGTGGGTGATATTATGCTTACACCCTGTACTATGAGCGCGCCTCAGAGCCCATTAAGCATCTTAAATCCTGGAGATCAAGAGGGCTTTGAGACTGATGAAGGAGAAGGAATGGTTATGGATGATGATGATGATGGTGATGCTCCGGGGACTCCTGGTAGAGAGATAAATAGTCAGAATCCTGATCCGCCTTCGTTTGCTGAGATGTTACCTGAGAGAAATTCAGGATCACCATAGTAATTACTAGGATCTCTTTTTTGCTTTTAAATGTATAGAAATGATAGTAATGAATCATGGGGGAGAGAGTCATGGGGGAGAGAGATTATCATTTGATGATCGGATTACTTATTTGGCACTCAGTCGTAGACTCATTGTATATATCATGTATACCTATCTATGTATGAGTAGGCATTGCCCAAATTTCACATAATACGAATTATTGAAGATTAAGAAATGTATATTTGTAGTTTTCCAAATCTTTTAAATTCTTTTATCTTCTTCAACCTTGGACTTTTAGACGTATTGTATGGAATGTAGCCATTGCATGTATCTACTATTTATTTATTAGGATTAGAGCTTGATGATCGTTATTTGTTATTTGTTCATGTAGATACTATATTACTAATCAGAATTTGATGTTTATATTCGGTATACTCAGGCTTTCATGGCATGTACTAGAGCAAAATTATAGATAATGATAACAAAAATTCCAGTTCTATCTAAAAAAAGTTAGGAATTTATTGTTGATAATTTGAAAGAGATGACATCTCAAAATGAATTATGTATGCTAGTCATATTTACTGCACCAAATCAAGGTTTGCAAAATTATAATATTTCCAAACAGAAATAACAAATAATAATAATAATAATAATAATAATAATAATAATAATAATAATAATAATAGAGATGAGGGAGCACAAGCGCTTCCATTATGGGGGTTATTGGTTGGGACAAATTGGGGTCAAGTGGGAAAATTGTTCCAATGGAACAATTTTACCCCTTTGGGATATTTTAAGTGGGGTAAAGTGGGATAAAGTGGGATAATGGGATAATTTGAGCATTTGATTTGACAATTCATGTGGGATAATTGATGATGTGGTACCTTATTAAAATATAATTTTATCTATTAATTACTTCTAAATTAACTTATCCAATTGGTTTAGTATATTATTTAGTATATTATTATAATATAAATATTATTTTACTTTATATTAAAATATAATATATTGTACTATACTTACAAATTACTATTATTAATTATTATATTGTATTATATTATATTATATTAGCATGATATACTATATATAATAATTAATATAATATAATATCAATATATTTAATATAATATTTTAATAATATATATATTATTATTATATCAATATAATTAGTTATACAATAATTACTAATTACTATCTATTTAGTATGCTCATTATTGTATAATAATTAATATAAATATCTGAATAATATATATAATATTATACTTTAAAATATATTACTTATTTAATATATTATAATTAGTATCATAGGATATAATGTATTACTTTATATAATATTATAATATTTTACTTTATTCCAATGCTAATATTTTTTAAATTTATATTAAAATTAAAATTAATATTAACCACACACACACACACCACACACCAACACACACACACACACCATATATAATATATAAGTATATATATATATATATATATATATATATATATATACTATTATACGAAGATATTATCTTACCATGAGATTACAATTAATAATATTAAAAGGTATCATGTTAATAGTTCAATTTATCTATATTATTTCAACACTATTGTATCTATATTTAATTATCATATATTTTACGAAATATGAGTAATTATTATATTATATTAAATAGTATGTCATGATACTTAATAACATATCATAATATTTTATAATTAATTATATATAATATATGTTATTATATTATATAATATCATATAATAAATACGTATTATTATTATTAATTTAATATTAGTATTATATTACTACTACTATTAATATATCATGTTATTAAAATATTATATATGATTATACTAATATTATTATTATGTAATTTAAATTATGTCATATTAAAATATTAATGATATGTTACTAAAATACTATATAATTTTTTTTTTTATATAATATGTTATATATAATTACTAATTAATATTATATAATAATAATTACAATATTTTATTAATATGTTATTTAATATTATTATATTATAATATATGTCCATACTAATTCACTTTATATATCTATATTATATAATATATGTTAATATAATTATTAAATTAATATTATATTTAATAACATATTACTATAATACTATTAATATATGTTATTAAAATATTAATATATGTTATTATATAATATTATCAATATATGCATTAAATTATGTTATTAAAAATATTATAATATGTTACTAAAATACTATATAATATTATAATAAATATGTTATACTATAATTACTAATTTAATATTATATAATAATATATTACAATATATTATTAATGAGTATGTCTATATACAATTTATATAATATTATAATGAATATGTTATACTATAATTACTATTATATAATTATATTATATATGTTATTAAATTATGTCATTAAATATTTATATATGTTATATTTTATATATCATGTCAATATATTATTATAATTATAATGCATGTATTAGTTACAGTAATACAAAATATTTTAAAAATTATCTCAATTGCCTTCGAAGTGGAACAACATTGTTCCAATATGGGGATGGGGTAAATTTTTACTATTGGCGATAAAATTTTTGTATATGAGTCGGGTTATTTATGCCAAGTGGTGTAATTGTCTCACTACGTGTTCCAAAAAACCAATAACACAAAAAGGTATTATCCTTGTTCCATTGTCTCAATGAATAACACTATGAAATAGAATCCCCAAAATTATCCCATTATCCTCCAAAATATGCCCAACAATAACCCCACCTTAGTGAACATATTATGGGATCATCATGAACATACCTACTGGCTTGCTAGTTATGTCAAGACATGATATTAAGGTTCACCACAAAAAGACATTACACCCCCCTGGCCCCCGGGCCCCCAAACAAAAACATCCCCCAAAAAAAAGAAAAATAAAAAAAACTTTGGGAGGTGTTGCACATAAACCCTGAAGTTTAGCTCACATAACCCCCCTAGGGTGCCTCACAAAACCCTCGTGAACTTTGAACTTTTCTTACTGGAACCCCTTGCATGTAATTTGCGAATAACTTGAATTTTATTGAGAAAAAATTCAAAATTTATATAAGGGAAGAAGTATGATGCTAGTAAATGACAAATGCCAAAATTTGGAACTTTTCTCTCAAGAAAATTTTAGTTATTTCCAAACTACATGTAGTGGGGTTTGGTGAGAATTGTTCAAAAGTTTAAGGGGGTTTTACGAGACACCTAAAGTTAAGGGTGTTATATGAGAAACAAAGTTTAGGGGAGGTTATGTGCAACACCCCCCAAAGGTTAAGGGGTTCTATGAAATTAACCCTGATATTAACCTCCACTAATAGTGAAGACAGATTTTTAAAATAGACAATATTTGTAAAAATCGATCCATTTGTAATTTAATCACCCTTTTCGACTTGGTTTCAGCCAACTGGCTGAAATTGGGTCGAAAATGGTAAATAAAACTTCACGGGATTTTAAATCCCGTGAAGTTTAATGCTTAATTACCCAACCTAATCAAAATACAACAAGCCTAAGCCTAATAGCCACTGAACTCCATATGATATGAAATCCCGTGAATTTTGTTGGCAAATCCATGGAATTTCATATCCCGTGAACTTGCAGACAGAGAGCCCAAATTTAGCTCTGTGAAATTGCCCTGCAACTTCACAGGATTTGAAATCATGTGTAATTGCAGGCTGCAGTTGACAGAGAGCTCCAATTGAACTCTCTGTGAAATGGGCTTGCAGCTTCACGAAATTCCAAATCTCATGTAGTTGCAGGTCATGCCCATACATGCACGCACAGTGCGTTTTCCGCCTAATTCAAAACCTGTTCTATATAATAAATTTTCTGGCTCATTCACAATAATATACACAAAGATTCAACCATAAACACCAAATTTGCTGCGTATATACTGAATTATAATAATTTACACGAAAATTAAACCATAAATCACAACAATACACACGAAAATCACATATATAAACAAAAATCGATCTGCATAAACAACAAAGTTCACAATATAAATATCACATACATCCTAAAAGTCCTCCCCTCCTTCCTCCCCTCTCTTCCCC